CTAGGAACCTCAACAAAGTGGGAGTCCAGAATTCCTCCAGAACTTTGGTCTCCTTCGGTTGACGTGGGTGAGCTCTCTGAAGTTCCTCACCTCAGTGCATCACTTCACACTGAAGGAAACACTGGTGGAACAGAAGAAGAAGAAGAAGAAGAAGAAGAAGAAGAAGAAGAAGAAGAAGAAGAAGAAGAAGAAGAAGAAAAACAAAGTCCAGGTCCGTCGTCAGAAGACCAAGAAGAACAGAGAGTCTCTGGTTCTCAGACGACCAGAGTTCCTCCTGCGTCCTGCATCCAAAGAAGAAATGCTGGGCTGTGGACTGACTCTCAGAGGAGGTGGAGGTGGAGGTGGAGGTGGAGGTGGAGGTGGAGGTGGAGGGAGCAGCGAGCCACAGCAGAGGAGAGGCAGAAGAGGGAGTGAAGCAGAGAGAGGAGCCGTGCAGGCACCGCGCTGAGTGCTGTGGTTGGTCTGACTGTGAGGGGGGAGAGAGCTGAGTGTGTGTGAGAGGGAGAGAGAGAGAGAGAGAGAGAGGAGTGGTGGAGGAGGAGTGAAGGGAGTCACTCTCTCTCTCACACACACACCTACACACATCTCTCCCCCTTCTCCTCTCTCTTCTTCCTGCTCTGTCTTTCCGTCTTGTTTCATGTGGCCCAGATTCTCCGTCTTTTCTTCTGTTTCTTCTTCTTTTATATATTTTGCCCAGCAGGGCGGCGTCTTCGTCCACTGCCAACTGTATTTCTTCATTTCTCTTTTCTCCTTATTCTTAACCCAAAAACATTCACTCCACCAGCTCAGCCGACCCCTGACCCCACGACCCCTGACCCTCGACCCTCAGGGTCTGCAGAAGAATAAACCCTGTTGTTTGAAATGTGCCACCCTGTGGCAAAAGTGGTTATTGTCTGTACATGAGACTCGTTCATAAGAAGATGTTTGTTCACCAACAGTACAGCGTTAAACTGTTACAGTCCAACCACGAACAAACGTCAAAGGTCGTGACCTCAGGTGTCGTGGCCAAAACACTCCTGTTATTACACAGTTATTACACAGTATTCCAGGTGTGTGACTGGCTGAGTAGAGCCGTGTGTGACGATAATTAGGGACGTCCCACATTTACTTTTCTCTAATATCCGATATGCTGATATTTCCGATTCCGACATCAAGCGACACCAACGCAGCTCTGGTAACATTATAACATTAAATGAGCTGCAATGCTGCCATCTAGTGACTATCACTTTCATATACAGCTGTTTTTTAAGAGCACACCATTTGGCGAAACCCAGGCATTACGTTATCGGATTTTCATTATCGGAGGAAAAACCGACAAACGACTCTTACAGATATGACATCATTATGCTAACACTGGGTTGGTCGATAATATCGATGATAATATGTGACTGTGGTGAAGCGGTCGGACATGTGACCTGAACAACAACACCAACAGTCAGAGTCAGAGTCAAAGGTCAAGGTGACGGACTTCATTAACAGGACTCAGGGTCATCACAGAACTTCTGGATGGTTCCATGACGATACTCTGATTCAGTCAAATACTGTGGTATATTTGTATAAAAACTCAGTGAGTACTACACAGTGAGTACTACTCAGTGAGTACTACACAGAGTAACACTGCAGTACAGCAGTATTCCTTTGAAGACTTTCTTGGAGGTTTCTTCTCGTTACCTTCAGCTCTGCTGGATCAATGTCACAGCTAATAGAAAAGCCCTTCTTCAGAAACTCCTTCCTGATTGACCCCCCCTCCCCCCCAGCCCCTCAGGACACTCCCAACCAATTCCACGTGAGGTAGATTAAATGATCTTTACCTGAGAGTCTGTAGGAGACGAGAGGAGGGAAAATTAACTGCTGCTTCAGGTCAGTTATCATCATCACACACACACACGCACAGACACACAAGCACACACACGCACACACACGCACACACACACAGCAAAGATGTTTACATAAAAATAAATCAACATTCAAACATAAAACAGAACATTAATGGCCACAACCACCTCCCCCCAAAACCCACCCTCCACTCACCCCCCCCACCCTACACACACACACACACACACACACACACACGATGTTCACATGAAAATAAATCAACATTCAACATGGAAGAGAACCCTGAAGGCCACACCCCCCCACCCACTCTCTCTTGGTCTCTCTGATTTCTTCTCCTTCTCTCTCTCTCAGTTTATTCCACAGTGGATTTCAGTGACTGAACGAAGTCCGGATCATGTGACTTGTATCGACGGCGACTGTGGCTCAGGACGGCGCCTCCTACAGGAGGCCACCAATCACAGACCACCACCAATCACAGACCACCAGGACAAAGACCGAGGTTTGAACCCGGCTCAGACGGCGGTTTGTTGTCGTGTTCCTGCAGCTGCCGTGTTCGCAGCAAGTCACGACACGCCATAACTCTGAGCAGCAGGGGGCGACGGGTCCCTGGTCCTGGTCCTGGCCCTGTGTGTGTGTGTGTGTGTGTGTGTCTGCTTGGTCAGCAGATGAAATGACCTACATACGACTGAGTGCAGGTCTGTGTAGAACAGAGTGAACGGACACATCAGGTCGGTGGTTTAGGACGGCGTTTTGTGGTCACGTCACGACCTCCTACGACTCGTTAGGTCGCGTTCCATCAAGTTGTTGTACGGAGGTTTACGGAAGTTTCACACAGGAAGTAGGCGAACGGAGCGGACATTGGACTAGGTCCAACTACCTAGCCTAGTTACTGGTTAGGTTAACTCACTGCCATTACGTACGTTACCTGTGGTAAATACGTCTCATTTTACGTCTGAAAGTTTTAAACACTTTTCATGTTAAGAAGTTTGTACCGTTTTTTTCCAGACTATAAGTCGCACCAGTGCCCTCTAGCGGCTGTCAGGGTGAAACTAACGGACATGTAACTTTTCTGTGGTACAGGGGTAGCAGATACTGGAACACAAGCCTAGAGTGCCCTCTAGTGGATGTTAGTGTGAAAATAAATGTGAAATTATATATTTTAATAAGTCACACCTGAGTATAAGTCACAAACCTAGCCAAAGGAAAAGGTGCGACTTATAGTCTGAAAAATATGGCAGTATTCAGGAACCAGGATTCTGACACAGACGGGTCTGTTCTTGGTTTGTGTCTGTTCTTGGTTTGTGTCTGTTCTTGGTTTGTGTTTCAGAACTTCTTCTTCTTCTTCTTCTCTCTGTCGTCACACTGTAGGTCAGGTGTTTATTAGAAAAGTCTTTCTACAAACAGCAAAATCAAAGACTTTTTCACAGTTTAGGACACGGAGAATTGTTCTCACTGGTCCGTGTTCTACCAGCTGACAGTGCAGTACCAGAGAACTCCTCATGACTTTAGGCTGAGCTGAGTCCACGGCCCTGGACTGACCGTCGTTAGCTGCCGTTCCTTTCTCTCTTTTTCACGTGTTAGCATCAGAACTGCACAGTCAGCGGAACTGAAGTCAAGGCTCGTCTACTGTTTCAATGAAAATAAAATCTGCAAATTCAGGCCATATATATTGTAGTTGGTGTTCACCTATTCTTTTAATCATGGAGCAGTGAGCGCCTCACGGTGGCAGCCTGGTGTTCTAATGGCCTCTTATTGTGCTGGAACTTTTATAAAAGAAGCTCAAGCTTGTTTTTTTTACCACATAATATAACTTGTTTTAAAGCCTGGACCACAGAGAGGAGTCAGAGACAGCGTGGAGCAGCGGTGACGCCAGCAGCAAAAAAAAAAAAAAAAAAAATCAAACGATAAAAAGTTAAAGTTTGAAATGTGCTGCACCAGCAGACGAGGCCGTGTTTCTGACACGTCACGTCGTCATGGATTATTAACGTTCTCCTCCAACAGTTCAGGTCAGGACATAAAGTAACCGTTTGTTTTCTTTAAGGTCAAATTTGTTCCGTCAAAAAACCTTATGTTTAATACGTAGGTCGTGTGATCACCATATCAATCAGCTGATTAATCACATCACGTTTATACTGTGATATGATTCAACTCCAAACCAGAGCCAATATTTTCACCGTTCACTTAGTCCTGCTCTGTACACAGTCAGTACACACTTTGGTACTTCGTGGAGACAGGTTCTCGTTTCAACAAAGTATCTTCAGCCTAAAGCACCGTCTCACCCAGATTTACAACCATTTAAATTAAAACGCTTTGATTGGTTGTTGATTATTGTGAAGAAACTCTGGTTCAAGTCCGTTCGTGTTCACGTGCTTCAAGATCTGCCCTGACTGACCCCTGCTGGACA